GGGTTAAGCTAAGCAGGCGGGTTACATTAGGATACAAAGCCTCTAGGCAAATGCTAGTTGCCTGTACCGCCGAGACGCGCTACGCGGTGCGGTCCCTCCACATCTGTGTCAAAACCAGTACTTCCCCAGGAAGTGTATTTAACAAAACGAATGCTCCGCACAGGCCGCCGATTTGATCGAAGTCGAGGCTTGCGACATAGAGACCGACGTCGTTGGCCACAACATCGCACTCCCCTAGGGCGGACGATGCCGCCTGACGAGAATGTGCCGACTCTAGCTGTTGGAGACGGTGATGACACGCTTGAAGTTGTAGGTCAATAATCTTTCTTAAAAAAAAGAAGAAAAAAAAGAACGTCAAGAACGGCTTGGCTTTTGAACTCATTTTTGAAGAAGTTCCACGACTCACGTGCTCAACGCAAGCATGTAAACATTACCCACTTCGGCGATTAAAGAAGTCAACTAGATACGCTTTGAAACCAAGTGATTATGAGCATTACAAATATGCTTCAACAGTGCATATGCTGTCGCTTTTCTCTGTTGCTTCTTTTCTTTTTTTTTTTTTTAACGATGGGGATGTTTGTGTGTGTGTGTTTTTAGCATTTTTGTGCCATATTGAAGCTAAATAAGCGCAAGCGAGTGAACCCTAAAAAAAAAAAAAAAAAAAACGGAGCAAAAAAAAAAAAACGCTAAGCTGTTTGTTATTTTGTCGTCCGGTTTTCTCCGCATTGTAGGGTTCGTAAAGTCAAATCATTGCTATTTTGGAATTTTGTTGTGCTGCCCTGAAATTGTCGTCGAGTCCTTGACACTCAAAGGATAGGGGAACTTTAGTTAAGCCGCCTGCCTTCCCCGAAGCGAGGCCAGCGTCTTTCGAGGTCAGGATTTCGCGGCTTTTATGACGTCGGGAGTTAAGCCATTCGCACCTGCGAGCCTGAAGAAAGGCTTCGGTTACAAACGTGGCCGAGTTTGGAGAGGGCTGTTCGAAGAGCCGGAGCCGGAGATGTGTTTTGCACGCAGTCCACGGACAGCGTCGTCTTTTTCGTTTTGCTTCGGTATGTTGTGGGCATGCACCGCTCCTCGCCGTAGTGGATTGTCGAAACGAAACACACACACACAAAAATACTGATATTGGAAAAGTGGAAGCGGTAAAGGGGGACAACCATATCAACCATGAAACTTCGGCGGTGTTCCGACCCTTCAACACCCAACACCCCGTCCCCTGGCTACGCCGCTGGTGTGCAAATACGTTCGTGTTTTCCAAATAAAATTGAGCTGCCGGTAGCCGCTCTGAGTTTGCACTACTACTTCTTTCAGTTCGGTTGTTTGTTTTTTCTGGCGCTTCTAAAGGCCCGTTCACACTCTTGCAACCGAGTACGACCGAGAGAGACCAAACCGGTTTTTAAGCCTCTTGCGATCTCTTAGGACCAGCTCCACTCAGCGCATCCGGTCCCAAGAAGTCTTTCTCGGTCGTACTCGGTTGCAAGAGTGTGAACGCGCCTTGAGTATACGTTTGTTGCAGCTGACGTCACTTCCGGCTAAACTGTAGGTCAAAACCAACATCGTCGTCTACTATCAGTGCCTTGTCACCATGTTGGAGGCAAAAAATGTTCTTCTCCTGACACGAAGCGCAGTCCATAAACCCGTAGTTAGGGTACGAAGCTTTTCTATCAAGATCATAAGTCAACATAATAATCTAAAGCGAAAGTCCCATGCGTTTGGCCGCGACGGGAGGGCGATGCATAGACGCGGACATCGGCGGCCTCATTTGGTGGTCCCTATAAGCTCGTATCGCTGGCGACGCATATGCACGAAGGAGCAGCAAAAAACCACCTGTAAATTCTGCAGTTTCTTTTTTTTTTAATTAGCAGAAAAAACATTTGAATTGCGCGTTGACAAAATTAAAGGAGCTGTGCAACGATATTCAATTGGAATGTTTTTCTCTCTACACTTGCTTACTGGCACACCTCGGACTCAAGGATACTCACACGCAACACCATTGTCCAAGAAACTCCTTTGTTGTGGTGTAATTTCAAGGACAAAAGCGATAATTTTCATTCAATCTCTCCTTTGCAAAATTTGATGACGTAACTCGGGGATCGCAGTACACCCAAGTGACGATATTTGAATGCGGTTCACAGATTGGACCCGAGCATTGCGTGGGCACTCGACTTGGGCTCGTGACAATTGCTAGCTCGAGAAGCATTCGGGTTGTGACCCGTGTCCAATCGCTGCAACGACGACAACAGCCGAGCCATAACAATGTCTGGAACTCAGCGCGTGTCCTGCGCTTTGCCAACCCCTGCGCGTGGCTATGATCAACACTGGCGGCATATAATCGGCTCCAGATCACGTGGCCGCTTGTTCTGGCTGCGAGTTGAGGGGGTGAACGCTGCTCGTTTTTCTTAAATTTTTTTCTGGGACTTCTATTGCGTGGGGTGAAAAACGAACGCGTGTTTCATAGGTCATTAACGTTAGGGATCCGATTTAAGCGGTATTTGTGCACAGTACAAAAATTGTTGCATCGCTCCTTTAAGTAAAGGTAGGCTGTATCAACTCACTTATTAAAATATCCTTGCCCATCTCCCCGCCCCCCCCCCCCCCCAAAGAAAAAAAAAAAAAAAAAAAAAGAAGCGGCTAGGGAAAAAAAAAACCTTCCCCGGAAAAAGAAAAACACAACAACAACAAAAATCTGCGCCGAACAGCGTCGAAAATGCGCCGACCCCATAGCGGCGCCATCTGTTGACAGCCCGTGATATCGCGAGGAGAAACTAACTCTAGCTACAGTTACTCTAGAGTTCGAGTGAGGGTTAAGGGAGAGTATCATCGAAAGAAGCGGTCGCGAAAGAGTAACTTGGATGAAGAGAGGGTTAAAGTAGGGTAACTTAGGGCAGTTACTCTCCTTTGACACCTTTTTTTTTTAGAGTGTACACTTGCGGATCCGCCAGCGAATCCGCCCAGCTTCTGCCGCTGGGGCGAAACGCTGGGCGGAAAACGCGGCGGCGAGCCGTATTGATCTGGGACCTATTTCTGCCGCCGAACGAGGCGTTTCGCTGACCGGATGTGACATTCTTGCACAGCGCGACGCCGCCTACCTCAGGAGTAGGAGTTCTTCCGGGAGCAGCAATGCCCGGGAGAGACAGTCGAGGTGGGAACTCTCGCGCCTTCTCGTCATATCTGACGGGATGTTACGAGAACAGCTGCCGCCGCCGGCGCAGCCACCGCCCCTCGAAGGAAATAGATGTAAACGCAACCCGCCCGTCGCCGCCGCCGCCGGAAGCGAATCCGCTCCCGCGGGAGCGGATTTCTTTTCAGGTGCAAACGTACCATAGGAGCTGCGCTCGAAAAATCCAGAGCCATAAGGAGAAATGTAAGATGCCAAGTAGCCCGCGGCCCGTATAATAAATATAACACCAACCAGCCCAGCTCTCAATTGTATTACTTTATTCCAATTAGCAGTATTTTACTAAAGGATGGCTATAGTTCTGCTCCTTCCTTCACTGTGGGCGAAGACTCGTCTGCATGTATTAGGTTGAAATAAACTATAGAGACGATAAGCTGAGAATGGTTCTTTAAGCACCCAGTGGGAACTTTCTTGGGGTTGTTTACAAACGCTGCCGAACAGCAGAGTAGGAATGTTTATTTTCAATTATATTATATAAAATACGATGATCTCCGAGTAGCGGAAGTAACTTCTATGCTCGGTTATCAAACTATGCAATGTAAGTGAACAAGCGTTGGAGCTAGAAACGTGTGCCACTTCTGACCAATTATGCCCGTGTCCCACTAGAGCGACAGACAGAAACAAACGACAGCGACAAGCCTCAAACCAGAGTCTTTCGCGATTTGAGAGGCTTTGTAGAACAAAGGAGGCTATGCTCAAACACGAGCATCATGCACGTGAGGGTACTTTGGCAGACTTGAAATCGCTCGTGCTTACTTTACGAGCACCGAACGACTAAACGCCTGCCAAAGGTACCGTCGCGAGCATGCTGCATGGGTTTGAGGCTTGTCGCTGTCTTTTGTTTCTGTCTGTCGCTCTAGTGGGACACGGGCATTAGAAATAATAAGACGTTTGTAAGTTTCTTGAACTTCACGTTGTTGGATATCTGGGACTATTTTAAACCGTTTATTATAAAACGGCTGTCTCGTATTTATATTAAACAAATTATTGGAAAAACCTCAATAAACCGGTTTTTATAAACGTGTAAGGGGTAACCGAAACCGTAAAAATTAAAACCGTAAAAAACCGAAACGAAACCGTTATCAACAGGAAGCGGTAACCGAAAGCGAAACGTTATATTTTTCGGTTTGAGTCCCTGACGTCACAAAGTTCTCTTGGCGTCTACAACTCAACTCAACTCCAATGCTCAAGGAAGGGCATTAGACCAAGCTAATGCTTTTCCTTCTATACTCTGTCCTTGTCCCTGCGCTGTTTGTTTTCAGCTAATATGAATGACCAACTAGCCCAATCGTCAACACTACTATACTCAAGTTCCACTTGTTCCAAACACGGGTAGGCAACAAAGAAGGGACAAGATCCGGAACCGGCGGACGACAATCCCGTACCCTACACACCCGAGCGACGCAACGACCCCGGCCGACCCGTCGAAGGCACGCGGAGAGCCAGCGACGCGCGCGATGACTCCGCAGGCGATGACAAGACGTGTGGACAGAGCGGGGAGCCTCACGCATCCGTCTCCGAGAGCGCAGCCGCCAAAGCCACCCAGCGAAGACGGTCTCCATTGTGTTGCTGATGAGGGGAGATCACCCGCGGCAGTCGGCGACCGCATCGAGGAACGCGTTTGTTCTTTTGCTTTTCCCATATAAATCGGGACTGACGACGGGTCGCTCCCGTTCACAATTCTCTCCGCCGAGCGTGGGGGTAGGATGACTCGCGGTAAACACTGGCGGCAACTGGAGCAGGAGCAACAGCGGCACGATGGACAGTGTCTTCGTGCGGGACATCGCTGGAGACACCAGGAGGACGGATGCGTGGGGTCGACGTCGTGGGCTCGCCAACGGACGGAGAGGCCAACCGTGAGTGCTCCGGACTCTTCCTTCGTCTATAGACCTCTTCCGCTTACTCTCGCCCCCGACCGCCAAGTAGGCATATCCGGTATGGGCGACGAAAATATATCAAAGCGTTTCAACCTGCAAATAGCTAAAAGATAGAGGGGAGGCAAAACAAGAATGTGTGACGGTTACGTTTATGTCCTAAATGCCTTCTATCGGCGTGGCGACGGCAAAACAATGTTTTCGCCCATACTGCATGGAAATGACGACAATTCAAGATGGCGGCGTTCTTGCGAAAAGGGTCTATAGACCAACACGCGGCTCTTACGTCGCGCCTCTTGCGGTGACGCTGTCGCAGCCACGGCGCATGCGCAGAAGCTTCACTTCACCCGAATCACACACCGGGTAAACGCGGGCCTGTTTCTAAACAGCGTGTCGGTCTATATAGACCATGCAAATGCCCTTGTCTGCTTGGTTGTAGAACAGGTTCCGAGCATCCGCAGTAGCTCTCTTCTCCTGAATATCAGACGCCACAGAAAAGGGTACCAACAGTAGCCTACTGGGCACCGCCATCTTCGTTTACTGCCGTCTTAGAAAAAAAAGGGTCTATATATATTCCTCCATAAAGGAGGGAATGATCCTGTCCCATATGTTCCTTTAGAGACGGAGCACCCTTCTTCCCTGCAAACGGGGGAGCAAAGTTCCTCCCTCGGACCTCGCACCACTGAACTCCGCAGACACCCAAACAAGTCTCTGCTTTCGGAGCGAGAGCTTTAGCCAATAAAAACATATATAACACGAGCTTTTCCCGAACTGTATTTATTGCCGAAGCTGGCTTCCCGCGCAGGTACGGAAACGTGTTTCGAAAGCAGTCACTCAGTTTTCTCGTTTTTAACGCTGCAATGGTAAACGGAGACGACCGAAACCGAGACAACCAAAATCGGCCAATACGCGCAAGTCACACCTCACCTTCGTTAACACCGCACGTCAGAGAGGGGGGACAAAGGACAAACACAAACGAAATTTTTTCTGCAGCGTCCTCTAAAGAATTGCTAGAATTGACGACAAATATAACTATCTTGCCGATATAGCCGCATGGCACCAAGAAAATAAAATGCAATTAAACACTAAAAAAACTAAGTATATAATATTTCCCTCAATAAACAAAAGCGACAGTAGGAATATAGTTATATACATTTTTAAAAATAAAATTATAGAAGGAATGAAAGAGCAGAAATTTCTGTGTGTCTGGTTTAACCAGAAGCTCAACTGGAATTCACCTGTTAATAAACTAGGCTCTGAGCTGTCCCAGACTCCCAGGCAGTTGGATGTTCATATAAGATAAGAAACCTAATATCAACATGGCTAAAACAAATAAAAAATATTATTCTATTTTTTATGCTAAACTATGTTATTGTATTTTAGTGTGGGGAACAACATCGTCCACGAACTACTCATGTTGCAGAAAAAGAATGCAGCACCTATTCCAAAACTACAAGGGTAGGATACAGGAACTCCACACTGAACTACTTTAAAAAAAACACAAAAAAACACAGCATATTGAAGGCTTATCAGATTTATAATCACAAGTTCCTACAACTGATTCACAGCGAAAAACTATACAAAACGATACAAATATATATGCGAAGTAACACAAAAGTATACTTTTAGACATATGCGAAGACGACTCCCACAAGGAGGAGGAGGAGGAGGAAAAACTTTATTCAATAAGGAAAAAAAAAAAAATTGAGCGCCGTGAGTGGAATCCTCAGTCCAGGACTCCAATGGACCTCGCTGCCGTCCTAGCCCTCTCGATCAGCCGTAGCTGTCGGTCCGGGTCAGAGCTGCACAGCTCTTCCTCCCACTGCTCGATGGTTGGATGGGGTATTGCTGTGATATCCTTATTGCGTTGACAGGCCCAGATCATGTGGTAGAGTGTGGATGGTTCGTTACAATGGGGACAGTTTGGTTTGTGTAAGTTTGGGAAAATGGCGTGGAGTCTTGTAGGGTGGGGAAAGGTGTTAGTCTGTAATTGCCTGAGCATTGTTTCTTGTTCTTTCGTAGTTGATTTGTGGCTCGGCGGGTAGGTAAGCCGGGAAAGTTTATAGTGTTGTGTGATGTCTCTGAATGTTACCAGTGGTTGGCTGACCCACTTCTGGTCCTCTTGTGGAGCCCGGCCGGCTAGTTCTCGGGCGCTCGCATGAGCAGCGAGGTTTCCACGGAGGGTCGAGTGCGCAGGTGTCCAAACGATAGTCACGGTTCTTGTGGGGGGTGCTTGAAGTAGAATTTTCAAGGCGGTTCTAGAGATTCTTCCGTTCGCGTAGGTTCTGCAGGCAGATTGTGAATCTGTGATAATTGTTGTGGCTGGGGTTTGGGCGACAGCGAGAGCGATGGCCACCTCTTCCGCATGTAGCGTAGTAGCCTGTCTAAGTGTGAGGCTTGTGAGGATCTTCGAGGAGTTAGTGACCACCGCTGTCATAGCGGGTCCCTGAGCATAGTCGGCCGCGTCAGGTAGACTGTTTCGTCATTTTGGCCGTATATTTTCTCCAGCCATCGGACTCTGGCTGTTCTCCGTCCCTCATGATGTTCTGGGTGCATGTTGCGAGGGATTGGGGCTACTTCCATGTTACTTCTAATTTCCTTGGGGATATCTTCTGTGGAGGTTTCGGGTTGCCGGGGCGGGTACCCAAGGTGATGTAGGAGTTTGCGACCGGTTTGGGTGATTGCAAGCCTTTGTTGTTGGGACGTGAGATGGGCTTCTATGAGTTCGTCCAAGGTGTTGTGTAGTCCCAGGGCTAGCAGCTTCTCGTTGGATGTGTTGGGCGGTAGGCCTAATGCTTGTTTGTATGATTTCCTGATTAGCACGTCTAATTTCTTGTGTTCGCATGACTTGAGCGTCGCGTACGGTGTGGCATAAGTTATCCTGGAAATGACAAAGGCTTGCACGAGGCGTAAAGTATCTTGTTCTTTCATTCCGTGCTTCTTGTTGGTGATGCGCCTTATCATGTGAGTGATCTGACCCACTGTGGTATCTAGTTTTCGTACCATTTGGTTGTTGCTGCAGTCTTCCTGTAAGGTCATGCCTAGAACTTTGATGGAGGGGGAGGGCCTGATGCAGACCCCGTCCAGTTCTATCTCGATGGATGCAGCGGTGTTTTTAAGGTGGGACCTTTTCCGCACAAGAAGAAGTTCCGACTTCTGTGGTGCGCACTTCAGTCCGCAGCTCTCGGCGTATGTTCGGACGATGTCGGTGGCCTGTTGTAGTTTGTCTTGCATCTCTCCCTCAGATCCCTCTCTTATCCAAATTGTAATGTCATCCGCGTAGAGTCCATGGTGCAGTCCCGGTATTTGATTCAGCTCTTTTGGGAGGTTGATAAGGGCTATGTTAAAGAGAAGCGGAGAGAGTACTGCTCCCTGTGGCGTTCCTTTGCTTCCAATGTTGATGGGCTGTGATCTTTTATCTTCAATCTTGATGACCGCTGTTCGATCTGTGAGGAAGTCACGGATATATGAATACATCCGTTCTCCACATCCAAGGTTATTAAGATTCTGGAGGATTGTTTCGTGGTTAACGTTGTCAAAAGCACCCTTGAGGTCGAGGGCAAGGATGGCCTTCGGTGTGTGCTTGCTGGCTTGGCTAAGGATGTCCTCTCTCAGCTGAAGTAGTATGTCTTGTGTTGAGAGGTGAGGACGGAATCCAAACATTGTGTACGGCATGAGTTGGGAATCCTCTAAGTAAGTTTGGAGTCTGTTTAGGACCATATGTTCCATCAGTTTGCCGACGCAAGAGGTAAGAAAGATCGGTCTGAGGTTCTCTATGCTTGGCTCCTTGCCAGGCTTGGGGATCAGTCTGATCTCTGCTGCTTTCCACGCTGGAGGTATGCTGCCCTTTTCCCAGCATTGATTCATGTATGCCGTGAGCAATGTGACTGATTTGTCGTCAAGGTTCGCAAGGGCGCTGTTGGTGATTTGATCCACGCCCGGGGAAGTGTTTTTCCTAATTTTTGTTAACGCTGCTCTGAACTCTGCCTCAATGAAAGGCTGGTCGAGCGGTGAGTTATGTGGGCCGGTGTAGGGTGTTGGTTGGAGGGGTTGTGTGCTGGCTATGTATTTGGCTTGAAGGACTTTGAAGAGATCTGTAGTGCCTGGATATTGGTGTAGTATCCTTTTGAGGGTTTTGTTGGTTTCTCCTCTGCTTTGCATCGGGTCTATTAGGTACCTGAGCAGGTTCCAGGTTTTTGTAAGGCTCAGAGTGCCTCTGAGGTCATCGCATTGGCCAAGCCAGTTTTGTCGGCAGAGTACCGCTGCATACACATCTGCCTCTGCAGCTAATTTGGTTATTCTGAGTTTCAGTTTACGGTTGAGCTTTTGTTTTCGCCACCTCTTCGTGAGGCTGCGCCGGGCTTCCCACAGGTGTAGAAGATAATTGTCTATGGCCGGGATTTGCGTTGTGGTTTGAAGAGTTCTAGTGTGGCGTTGGACATCACGGCTCAGTTCTTTTACCCAGAGCTCTATATTCATGATGGGATCATCTGGAGCGGTTTCCCGGTTTTTCCTTAAAGTTTGCCAATCTGTGATTCGGGCTTCGCCAAGTTGCCTTCGATAGGTGGTCCCTTGTATTTCGGTCTGGACGAGCATGTGGTCGCTCGAAAAGTTTTCTTCCAAGTTCATCCATGAAGTGTGGGGGGCATTCTTGGCAAGAGTGAGGTCGGGGCAGGTGTCTCGCGAAACGCTGTTTCCTACTCTGGTTGGTTTGGCCGGGTCGATGAGGAGCGTGAGCGTTTCGTTGTCGATGCATTCCATTAGTTCTTTGCCCCGTTTGTTATAGTAGGGGTACCCCCAGGCAGGGTGTGCTGCATTAAAGTCGCCTGCAATGAGGAGGCGACTGGCCCCCGCTTTTTTTGTGGCCTGGTGGAGCAGTGTGGCCAGTTCACTGTGTCGGTTTTTCGGGCGGCAGTAGATATTGAGTATAAAACAGTTGTGGCCTTTAGAGGTTTTGGGGGGAATCAACTCTGTAAAGATGTGGTCGTGCTCGGATGCTGGGAGAGTATGTTGAATTGCAACGATGTCTTTCCTGATTAAGGTGCAGACGTCGCGTCCTTCGTGTGTTGTATGTGTAGTATAGCCGGGCAATCTAGCTAAGGCGTTAGTTTCTTGGAGGGTGATAATATCTGGCGGTTGGTCGATTGAGGTGATGTATTGTTGTAAGGTTCCTTGTTTATGTTTGTATCCTCCGCAATTCCACTGCCAGATGCGGAGCGTATCTAAGCATTGCTGAGTTGGTTTAGTCATTGCTAGCTGCATGTTCTATGTCTTGAATTACTGGAACTAGTTCAGGGCGCTGGTAAGGTTTCTCATTCCTGCTTAGGCGACCGGGGATTGTTGTCTGTTGGCTAGTTTCAATTTTGTCCATTCGGACCTGTAATATTGTGAAAGTCTGTTGTTGCTGCGTGGAAATTTGTGTGAGTTGTGCAGTTAGGCCGGCGAATTGCTCGTTCATTTGGCTAGCAAAGAGACTTAGAGTTTGTTGGAGCTCGACTTTGGTTACGTATTGAGACCTGCCTTGTGCGTTTGGGCTTGGAGAGGGTACATCCTCTGTGGAAATTGACTGTAGTTTCCGTTTTTTCTCATTGGCTGGTGTTTCCGGTCTTTCTGGGCTTGGAGTTTGGTGCTGTGTCAGTAAAGTCTTTATGGCTTGTAGTTCGCTTCGTAATGTCTTAATTTCCTGTTGCAGTGCCTGACATTCCCTACAAGGTGCGTTGGGGAGTGGAGCACTGGAGGAAAGAACTTTAGCCCAGTTCACCTGGTTGACAGTGCATTCTGCGTAGTTTTCTGCTCTGACGTCCCGGTCCGCAGATGCACCGGGTCCCGAGCAAGCCCGGCCCGAAAAAAAAACAAAAAAACGCACGGTCGGGTGTAGCCACGTGACTTCCGCCACTTGCACCTCTTCTCTCCACTTCTCCGACCTCCGTCGGGTTTCGGTTTCGAGCAGTTGCGTCTTTTGGCTTTATTAAAAAAATACGCTACTCTGTTGCAAAATATTAATTGGGTAGTCCTCCGACACCATAATGAAGCGCCTGGCAAAAAATAAAAAAAAAACAATTTTGGGGGATGTCAGTGTCCCTTTCAGTCAAGTTTTCCGGTTCCGCCATAGCCAACATGGCCGCCGTCTGCCCATCCTTGTGGTTCTTCCAGTTCTTCTTGTGGTCCATGTTTTTCGGGTGCGACCGAGAGAAGAGAGGCTGTTTGCCGTTCTTGTTGCATTCGACCTCAAAGGTTTTTCGCCAATAGGCTTCATATTGAAGCGAGCTTGATGGACTAAACCTTGTCTCCAAATAGTGCCCCCCCCCCCCCCCCCCCCCCAAATGGTGCCAATTTCAACTTCGCTGTTTGTCGCAAAGAAGGCACAGACAAAGCGCCGCACCGTGATCAAACAGATCAACAAACAAGTGAAAAGTGAACAATAGAAAGCGGAAGTTGCACAAAAACTTAAAGTTGACATCAAGCAAGTGGAAAGTGGCCAATACGCAGCGGAATATGCGCAGAAATTTGATATTTTTGGCTGAAATAGATTTTTCGGACAATTTCAGGGTCCCCTCCGAGTCCAAAAACTCGGTCGGCAACTGTATATTATTCGTTGTGTCGAGCGCGGCGAGAAAAAATCGGACGTGGCTGCAACCTTCCAGATTGCCAGAAGCACGTTGAGCATGATACTAAAGAACAAGTCGATCGTCCAGAGCCAAGCCTGCGAATGGCCGAACGCCGACAGCAAGTGTGTCTGGAAACCGGCCTACGACAAAGTGGAGAAGGCTCTCTATCAATGGTTCCTGGACATTCCTGCGAGGAAACTACCCACCTATGGTCCGATAATGCAGAGGAAGGCGAGAGATTTCACTTTCGTCCTGAAGGTTGAAGGCTTCATCAGAGGACCTGGGTGGCTGCAACGGTTTAAGGACTGCTACTGGATTGTGGGAAAAGGCGTGGCTGGCGACAGGTGGGCAGTCGATACAGAAGGCGTCAAGAAGTGGACAAGTGAACACTGGCCTGAAATCCTGGCAAAATACAAGCCACGTGACATTTATAACAAGGATGAGACTGCTTTATTTTGGCAGCCGCTTCCAAGCAGGACCTTGGTGCTCCAAAATAAGATTTGCCATGGCGGAAAGCTGAACAAGGCTTGCGTCACAATCCTTTTGACGAACAACGTGGACGGATCATCTAAACTGGGGCTGCCGGTCATTGGCAAGTTCGAGTCACCGATATGTTTGCGAGGGTGCGCCCCCCCACCCGTGACGTACACCTTTAATGGGAAGGCGTGGATGACCAGCGTATTTTTCGAGAAGTAGCTCTGTGGCTGGGACATGAATCAACAACAAGCGGGCGCAAGGTTTGCTTACTCCTCAATAATTGTTGAGCTAACCACCGCAACATATTGCTTAAGAATGTCAAGCTGTGTTTCCTGCCGCCCATCTTAACGGTATCGTCCATGCTTTCAAACAGGGGTACTGAAAGCGTCTAGAGGAGCAACTTCTCGTCAAGCTGCGCGTCGGCGGAGAATTGAAGATCGACTCGTTGTCCGCAGCCCAGATGCTGAGCCGCGCCTGGAGTGATGTCACAAGAGACATAGGCGTAGACTACAGAGGGGGGGCATCGGGGGCTCGTGCCCCCCCCGGCGAAATCTGGGGGGGGGCAGAGCCCCCTTGGGCCCGGGCCATGATTCTTACCGAGACATTGTTTACGTGCCATGTAAGGAGGTTCTAGTAGCGGCATGTAAACAAAATAATGCCCACGTTGCCTTTATTGACGAAGTATATGGGAAATCGAATGCCAGCGCTGCTTTCGTTAGCTTCAATCTCCAGTTCTGGCAAAAACGAATCTAACAAATTTATCCAAAGAAACATACAACACTGAGAAATCTTGAAACATTTCCCACCAGAAATGTAAATGTTCATTTTTTAACCGCGGATGAGAAGAAAAATGTTTCTATTTTGCAAGAACTTATTATTTACGACGGCCCAGCCCGTAGCGGACCTTGCTTACCAATTTCATTGTTGAAACAGAGCAACTAACTTTGTGTCAAAAATTCCCAAATTTTGGCAAAATGGAGCAGCACACATTTTGGCACGCTTTATCACAGCAATCATACTACTGCCCTTTAAAGACACTAACACACCGCAAATTTTTTTTTTATATTTTGCCAGGTGATTTAGTATGGTGTCACAAGACTACACAGTCAATATTTTGCGACGAAGTCATCTATTTTTAATAAAATAAAAGAAAACGCAACTGCTCGAAACCAAAACATGTGCATGGAGACTCAGAGAGGAGAGTTGCCAGAAGTCACGTGGCTATCGCTCCTTACCCAATTTTCGTTCGTTCCTCCGCTTCTCGGGCGAGCGAAGCAGACAACGACAATGAGGATGTTGCTTAAACCGTACGTCGCACGATTGTTTTACACTCATCTCCCTTCCCCTCGCTGTTCTGTGCCTGAAGATCAATTGGCCGGTACCGAAAACTACAGTTCCGAAGTAGGGGTCCCACGTCTGTTGCAAAGTTGGTCCAGAATGGCGCATACATCTAACTTCCCGTGATCTGTGTAACCATTCTATTCAATCGACGTATTTGCAGCTTTTTGGAAGCCACAATAAATGAGGTTCATATTTTTTCCTACTTTTAATATTGAATGCACGTCTTGGATGACCGACGCCTTCGAACATATTTGGTACCCATCAGTTTGAATGGCATGCGACTGTGGAAACAAGAGTGAGCGCACCTGAAACTGACCAATTCTCATCTGGCTCTTTTCGGGCAGAGAAAAAGAACTATTTCGAGCCGCAAATTGCAATTTGGGTTGTTGGGCTCTTATAGGTTACGATTAAATAAAAACCTTGGCGAGCATGAATATCCCGTCAGCATCCCTTTAAGCTTGAGTCTCGTATCTTGGAGACGGTCTACGGTTGTAATCGTCGAACGCACCCATCCGTGCGCTTTGCCGAACTCCCGACACGACGGTCGTGTCGAATTATTCAATGGCGACGCCCGTGCCTGTCTGGTTGCCGGCCGCGCAAAACATAGTTCCATAACTTGGCAAAACCGAACGTTCTGACCTCTGATGTACCGACGTGCCGAATGGCCCACTGGGAATCGGCCAAGTTATGGCGAGACGAAGTACAGCAACCAACCAAGGTGCCTCTCGTTCACTGCCCCGGAGTCGCCAAAAGGAGCCAGCCGTAACACCCATTCCTCGTTAAATCAAAGAAGAAAGCACTCACAAAGTTTCTGCGCCTTTGCTTCCTCCCGACACCGTCGACGTCCTCGGTCGCCGAAGAGCTCTCGGCATCCTCCTCCTTGGCGGCGGTGTCTGTGCTCTCCTTGGCCGACGAGTCGTACGGGTCCAAGCCGTCGTGCTGCTCCGAGGCCACCGACGGATCTTTCTTACGCGCCAGCTTGCGCTGCGTCTCGGCGCGGTCTGCCAGGTAGAAGGAGTTGACGTCTGGGTGCTTCTCGCGGATGCTGTCCAGGCACTTGAGGCAGATCGTCTGGCCAGGCCTCAGCACGGGGTTGCCACGGCAGGCCAGGGCAAAGCGCCGCGGGACCAGCCACAGGGACCTGTGCGTTCCACGGCGTCTCTTGGGTCAACCCCTCCCGGAAAAGTCGTAACGCCAAACGGCCTCCCTGCCTCCGTTGCGCCTCCTCCTCTCAACCGGTTCACATAATTGCCTTTACTCACAACCGTGTTCTCGCAATCTCTTACAATGAGAGAACACGCCGGCGCCGTCTACGACGTGGCCCTGACATTTCACCGAAGCGAAGGTTTTACAGTATTGACAGGATCAAATGCGTCTACGAGGAACGGTCTATAACATCGTCAGAAGTTTTTCGAGCGAACCAAGTAAGGGTCGAAAAATTAGAAAATTAGGGAAATCGCAAGGGTTCCACAGCTACTAGACGGATGGTGCCAGTATGTTCATTCGTCACAAAAATTTGCAAGAGTTCGTAATGCACCCGGTCGAAAGCAGTCGCAAATCAGCCTTTATATTGTAGGTCCCTCGAGGATGCCTCCACAATGCCTCGCATGATGAGCGAACGAACTGCAGAGCTAAACATAAGTGGCAACACACCGAGCACGAACGCTCACAGGTGCCAATGAGATGACAGAGGAGAAAGAGCCACGTTTGACTGGGAACATTCTGCTATGACGGAAGGTAATGCCAACAAAGGAGAAGCCGACGAAAGAGCGGCTCCCTGCTACAACAGGGGTGGTCAAACTGCTGCTCGCAAGCCACGTGCAGCTCTTCGCGGTCCAAGTGCGACGTGCAACTCTCTAGTTGCTTCTACCCCTCCACATTATCAGAAGTAGATAACAGCGTACAGCTTACGTTTCGGCATCTTTATACTGTGTGACTCGCTGGCCAAAAACGTGCGTCGATGTTTGGGTCTGCCTACTGCTGGGAGGCACTCTTTTCAACCGAGTAGGCGGTAAGATCGGAATGGCGTGCGACCCCAGCGGATATAATCGAGCCGCTCGAGACCGCTTTGACGTCACTCGAGCCGGACTTCGAGTCGCTCACGAATGAGGACACTCTATAAAGGAACATGAATCCCTCTATGAATGAAATTCGCCGTGGTCACCCACTGAGATGAAAAGCAAAACTGTTCCATACCCCCTTGTTTGCTGCAGCTCTTTACTTAAGAAATTTTTTTTTTTTATAGTTTCCTGCACATGTCAATCTTTGGTTTGTATCATAGGGTCCCCCGAAACTCGGCCAAATCGTCTGCATGCCGGTCAAGCGGAGAGCCCTTGCCAGGAGCTTGACTATGGCCCGCTAGATGTCGGCAGCCCATGGGGCCCCGCAGAGACCGCTACTAGGTCTAATGCTCTTCTTCACCCTCTTCATCATTCCATTGTCATCCTTCAGACGATTCATTTGCACTGTATCAGTTCATCATCATTAGAGGTGGCACCACAGGCCTTCGAGATATAACCGATCTGCCTTTCTGCAGCTCCGCGGCTCTCCTGAGCTAAAGTAAATATGTTGTATCGTATGACATCATACTTAATCGGCGTATTTAAGCCTTCGCACAAGACGAGCGGTGCTGTCGTGTTTCAACATGGCCTGCAGACAAGCAATGCAGAAACACAGCCCCCTTTCTTTATCGCTTTATCGTCGATTCCTTGAACAATAATTTAATTATACCATTTTTAACGCTGCATGACACAGTTAGTGCAAACGTGACATTGGTACTTTTCTTGCTTTTACAACTACATGTCAGTGTTGATTACCAAACTTACCCACCTAGATCTCACATACGTGCCAGGCACTTCGTTACATTTTGAAATAAGAAATTTATGAGACAATTGAATGCTTCATTTTTTTATGAATCCTGCATAACTTAATCTATGTCTCGAAGTAATCCCATCGAAGTTAAAACTTTTCATATTTCAAAGATAAGAGGGAACGCAACTGCGCACGCGCAACTCTGAAGTGCATACTCTCACGGGCCAGTACAGGATGTCCCCCCTCAAAAACGGAGCGTTTTTTCCCCTGCAAAACTAAGCTATTCACCGCCGAATGCTTAATCTCCTCTCGAATGTGGTTCCAGTGATGCCAGAGCTTCAGAACTTGCCATTGTCTGATTCAAAAGTTAGAAGTGATACTGAAATGAAAAAGTGGGGCCCGTTCCTAGTAACAAATGCCATAAGTCTTTTGTGTTTGGGGGCTTTGTCGGAATTTTTTCCAATTAAGATATCTGACCAAGCCCAGGTGCAGACTTGTGCAAAAGGCGCAAGGCTGAAGGTACAAAAGGCAGGAGTCAGAGAAGGCACATTTTCGCATCAGCAGCCTTGCACTCATGAGAGACAACTTTAGCATGTGCTGCCCCAGCGCTCCAAGTCGTCCTACCTATTTAGTGGTTTTCAATGACACTTGGCAAGTTTCTAGTTATAACCGTAGGTTTATCTTCGCTCATTACAAGGTTAACGAACCGCGATGGTTAGCCCCCTTTATATGTCCCCATGGTTGTAAAGCTTACCTGCAGACTGCATTCGTGTAGATTTCACTTCTTTTGTAAAAACAATATGTCAAGCCTAGAAAAACACTCCGTATGTGCCCAAAATTGAGCAGAAACAATTAATTGGCATAACATTATACCGCAATTAAGTTGTTCCCACCACATCTAGTGGGGATTGTTTCGTCGCTAAATGTGGTGGGAAAACTTATTGTATAATTGTACACCAATTCAATTTCCCCACCTAAATTTATCAGAAAAATTATGTTATACTTTTGCAAGATTATTTCGGAGACATTTCTTTACGAAACCCAAAAATGTAAAGGATCATCTGGTTTACATATTTGGTCGATTGCAGTGGAGGTGCATATAGCATGGCGGGGTTTCTTACCCAGCAATTGAAATTGGAATGATACCCAATCTGTGGTGAAGAGAAGTCTTTCATATATATTTTCTTCTTCATCCACACATCTCTTCTCCTGCCTCATTCTCCCCGCAATGCCTCCACACGTACATATAATCTGACTGCAAAATACACCTACGGTACCCTACTAATGTGAAAGCATTAACTATCCCATGGAGCGAGCCGACATCATCAGCCACACCAAACGGCAGATAAACTCCCGAAGCTGCGACCTGAAGCATCTCAGCTTCGAAGCCATGCAGAAAGCCACGCAAAACAGCAGTGATATGAAGCCGTTGCGCGTCAGTTTCAATTAGTGCCATCTCATGGCGGTGCACGAGGCAGCGGCTCCACTGCTCCACGCCCAAGGTCAGCGTGGCGAGGACAGCGTGCACGCTCGAATGTCGACGCAAGTACGCCGCAGACGAAAAAAGAGAGCGGAGGAATGGCATGCATGCTTTCGCATTCACAACTCATAAGAAGTGCTTCGGCATACCTCGAGCCTTTTTATTTCCCCGCTACAACACAGCCCCCGTTCCGGGAAGGGGAGTGCTAGGACACGGCTTACCCCCTGCCACCATTCGGAAGGGCACCGTGCCGTCGGGTGTGCACGCCGCGACATCAAACCATGCAAGGAAGTAAAATCAGGGGAGAGCGTCTAACCGTAGGACAGCGCAAGAGACAAAAAGTTGCGTAATTTGAGGCTGCAGAGAGACGCGGCCGAGGTGACTGAGAAGAGAGGGTAGCACGCACGAGTAGTCCTTGTTCGCCGTGTGAATGCCATCGGGGTCGAAGCAGTCGGGGCCTTGCCCTTCGCAGTAGACCCGCTCATGATGCAGGCAGATGGAGTCGAAGGCCCTGCCCAGCCGGGAGGCCACGCTGTAGGCCAGCCGGGAGGGCACTGCCGCCAGGGTGCGCAGCCCCACCAGGCCCGTCATGTCCCGCAGGTGGCACGGGGTCAGCGTCATCAGCCCCACTGAACACCGACTCACCAGGTCCTGCACCCATTAGATCGTGCTTCACATGCTTGCCATTCGAGGCTCACATTTGCTTCTGGCTCCTTAAGTTCACCCGACGGTCAGAGCCACTCAATAAACTATAGTTCAGAGCACTGGAGCGCATCTTTAAACGGTTTAGCGTCCTATTCTGCCCATCCATCAAAAGTTAAACCGCAGAAACGACTCATTCAGCCGTCCCTTCTAGCTAACTGACAGGAACGACCTATTCCCTTGAACCCTTCTATGTGAAGGGTTCGAGATTTAGAAATGGTGAGAAACTGAAACGTCATATTCAGTTACTTATTTCGACATTCACCTTTTAAGTCTTTGTAAACTTAGTGCAAAGACAAGGGAGGAAGAACGTAGAGAAAGGATAGAGTGCTTGTTCATTTTCCCTTGTCTTTGCACTTCTTTACATTCTTCCTCCCTTGTCTTTGCGCTAATTTTACCCAAATATATAGCCAACTAGCCCACCGGATGATTTTATTTCCCTTTTAGAGTCTTGCATTTTCAAACGGCAAAGAAGCGACTGAAACATTGTGTCCGGCCACGAAATCTGTGGCGCAACAATTAGCGTCTCGCATTTAGTGTTTGGGCGGAACCCTCTAAAGAGTCCAGCAAGACTCCTCTCCGGATCTTGCTATGCAGGTAGAGACTAAGGAAGAGGAGAAGACGAAAGGAGACACCGGAACGCTCTAGCTGGAAGGATTCGTGGGTTGACGCAGAACTAGCTGTCTTTGTCTCGACTCGCTCTTCGAACGCGTTCGAACGCGAACACCAAATACCAGACACCATCGTTGGGCTTTCGAACGCGTTGGAAAAGTGAGCCGAGATAAAGGCAGCTAGCTTTGCATCTACCCACTAATCATTCCAACCGGAGCTCAGTGTTCCCCCTCCCGTCTTCTCCTCCCCCTCAGTTTATACACGTATACTCCGTTTCAGGATAACCTGGTAAGCAGTGAGGGCTACATTCAACACCTCCTAGAAGAGAAAGCCACAGCGCCCCGAGTGGTTACGCCACAATGTCGCAGAATGAAGTCCATGGCGCAACTATGTGAGAAAATTTCTGGCATGACGTGAAAAAAATGTTTCTTGTCGAGCGGCACGGTGGTGTTCGTGAGCGTTTATCCCACATTAATATATGTTTTAAAAGCGCAGTCTTGTACAATCTATTATATATATAATACAAACGTAATATACAATGCACTACCAAGGTTGAAAGTACCAATTTTATATTTATGATTATCCCCGAAACCGCGGGACTACGTGCAGTCCCGCAGCTCCCCACACTTTTCAAATGAACTGGTCCGCTGGGACGTTTTCTTCCCTCTAACAGGCTCCAATTCTGGTAAATTGACGTTGTGTGTGAGCTGCTGACTGTCTTAAAGGGAAGGCTGAGACTTTCAGAAGAGAAGAAAATCGAAAAAAATTCATTCATAGCCGCAGGGAGCGCACACGAGCAAGAGATGGATCGACAACGTTAAGCCTCCCACACTGCTGCCGCTGCTCTCGTGTGTGTGTGTGTGGTTCTTTTGATCCTCCTACCCATCGTTTTTTTGCCGTCACCGCAGACTCGGGTAGTTAATTTTGTGTTTGCTTAAAACTACGGCATTCACGTGGATTCACTGAACAAGTCCTGCTACGGTTTGAGCGACATGAGTGGCAACTAGCCAAGGATGACACTGGTCGATTATCGATAGACCTCTCTCTCTCGACGGAGAGACTTAAAGTTTGTGTTCAAATGTTTTCATGCCAGATATTGTGGGACGTATGAATACGATCGACAGGTGAGAAACAACTTATTTACGGGCTCTCTTGGTCATGTGGGGCGCAAGTAAAGTGCTGCAGTCGGGTGTTTTTGTTTTTCGTGATAGAATGACATCTTGTTTGTCGTTATCCGTGTGCGGTTGCGTCGACATTTGTAAATATGCATGGTAATATTCTAGTTTTCACTGGAAGGTGAGTAACAAGTTTGTGTGATTATACAAAGTGTGTTGTTTGTGCTCATGTGTTTATTTACACTAATGTTATTTTTTTGCCTTTACCACATTTATACTAGAATCTTAACTGTATTAAGGTATTATGGCATACAAAATAAGTTATATTTTGTTCTAAAGCAGCTCGAGCCGATAGGGAGAAGTAAATTAGTTGACTGTAAATAGTAAGTTTAGTACCCCTGCCACACGGAAAAGTTCATATATGTTCATTAAATGATATGGGACTTAAGCAGCTCGCGGTCCTGAGTGATTATACGAGCGTCGCAAGCTGATTTGTCGACCCCATAATGTCATTCGATTGAAATCACATTACTTTTGCCATGTGGCCAGGGTAAGATGCAAGAATTAAGTGACTGCACGCGATAACATCGCTTACATGATCGTAAGTGACACTTGTCGTGCCGTGTCCACGTTGACCACATCTACCTGATTTTTAACAGTGATCTGTCTTGCTGTGTCCAATCACTGCGTGTCTCGCCATTTTGTCGGAGTATTTCTGTATAAAATATGCATTCCTACAGCAATAATTGCGTAACTCAATGTTTTCTCTTATACGCCTACCTCGTGCCATTTCATGGCGATTATTAGTGGTGTAATATTTTGCCCGTGTAATAAAATGTTTTCTAGCCCCGTTGCTATGTGCAGCTTTCATTTTAGCTAATAAGATGTGCGTATGTGACTAAAAGCACATTACGACAGTCGATCCACGCGCGTTGCCGTGGCTTCGACGCGCGCCCCCGATGGCCTTCCTTTGCGACGTCACGAGAAGAGCACTACGGCCTTCTCTTCTAGGAGGTGTTGCTACAGCACCATATTGCCCCCCTCCCCTACAAACGGTGACAAAAAGTAGTCCTGGCGTTTCTTCTCTGCTTTAGAAAGCGAATGGGATCGGGCATAACCGACATCTTGTTAGTTTTACCAAAAATAACAAAGAAAGCTTTGACGAAAATGATTCTGGAGAAGGAGAACAAGGGGCACAAAGGACAAACACAAATTTCCAAAAACAACTACTAGGTGACTGGTGCGCAACCGAAGAAATCCACCTGGACCTGGTATCGAACCAGGGACCTCTCCATTTCTAATAGAGCGCTCTACCAACTGAGCTAACCAGGAGTTAAATGTCAGTAGAGCAAACGGGTTTTGTCAGCTGCCACCAATCTAACATCAGCAAGGGTCAACATTTCGTGGCATTCGCTGCACGGCTGGCACGGCATGCAGTGCAGTCCCGCTCCCGAAGTGGGAACTCGGGATGAAAAGGCCACTCACATCAATCGTCTTACACCGTTCTTGGTTCTCCGGGTCCGCCAGAACCCTGGCGAAGGACTCCTCTCTGCTGGTGATCCCGGCGACGCACATCTTGCACAGCCTCTGACCTTCCTCGAGCTCGACGACGCCTGCCGCCGCCTCGACCATGGCCTCGGTGACGACCACGCTGTCGCCCGTGGTTTTCTTGGAGCCATGGCTGTTGAGCGGATCCACGCACCCGCGCTTGTGGTGCTCGTAGTAGTGGTAGAACTTCTGGTGGTGGCGGCAAACGGTGTCTATGTCGTCGGTGCCGACCCGCAGTGAGATGGAGTGCTGCTCGTCCTCGCTTAGGTCGCAAAAGCTCTTGATGCTGGACACGGAAGTTAGAAGCTTCTGGTGGCACTCGGTGTTAGTCAGGAGGCCCACCGAACACCAGGTGTCCGGGTCTTCGACGTCGATGTCGAACACCAAAGACACCGACGGCCGGCTCTTGGGCGCTGCCATCTTGGATTGGGGGGCTTGACTTGTTTCGGAGACGCTCCGCAGCGACTATATAGCGCTGTCGGCGCAAGTGATAACGTCACAACATGGCGCTGCGCTCCAAACAAACCGTTGCTAGGACCGTTGTTATGGACAAATGCATTGGGGCTCGACGTGAGGTTAGAAATTGTGACTGTTCTTTTATTTTTACATATACCAGCTCGTTTGCGCCATTACATTTAGAACCAATTATGCCCGTATCGTCCTTCGTGGAATGGGTCATCCGCCCTTCTGAGGCACCGCTGCTTTCCGGGTCAAAATAAATATTCGGCAGGTCTTGGTACGAACGTGTTTCGACCAGACTAGCTTCTTAGTAACTTTTTGAAGGATATGTTCCAGTGGTGGAACTGCTGCGCCATTTGCGCCAAAACGAAAACCCTGCGAATATACTGTTCCAAAGTTAGTATTTGTGCACAATTTGCGCCACGTTTGCGCCAAAAGGGAGCTGTTCTCAAAAAGGAAACCAAGTGTCTGGCACGTAGAACTCTTGGCGATGTTACTGAAAATTAAGAAAGTACTGTTGTTTCTTTGGATGCCTGAGTACCATGTGCGAAGGGTAGGGCTGCGCGAATAGTCGAATTATCAAATACTAGTTTCAGATTATACGCTATTCGATATTCGTTTCCAAATTAACTGCAATATTCATACTTTTCGAAGAGTTGATCGCGGCGGGTTAGCCCTCACGAGTGCGCTTCTCCCCAAGCACCGATGCACTACGGAGAAGCAATACCCGCGGAGCTGACACCGCGATCTCGCGATTTGCTTCGCCGCAGCGCAGCCGCGCATTTGGGCGAAAAACACACCTTCAAAATTTTTCGCACGCGCGTGCCTAATGTTATATCTATTTTTAAGAAAAAAAGTTGCGATTGTTGATATTTATATTGAAGTAAAATTTTTTAAATTTAACTGGTTTTTATGCCAGTGTGTGTGTTAGGCAGCAAGGTTTTAACAACCTGCGTTCATTACTTGTGCTGGTTTTATTTAATTAAGAAATGAAGAAAATACTTCCATATAGCAAGATTTATAAATCCCCTCAATTAGGTATGGCAAACGTTTCTTCAAGATTTCGGTCCATCACTAATTTTTATGGCGCAGACGATTGACCCCCTAGCAACGACGCTCACGCCGGATTGGCTGCTTGGCAACGCGCGGGAACTTTACGGATTCGGACGGCGCGTGTACACTCCAAGCGCGTTAACCCACCACCCCACCTGCGTTCACGCCGCTTTGCGGTGGGAGTATGCGGCTACTAATTAGAAAACTATTAACCCACTTAGCCCCCCCCCCCCCCGCCCCCCTCATTCCTTCTACACGCCGCTTTGTGGCGTCCAGCCGGCAACCCAAGCCCCGCTGTCTCCCATGAACTTCCGTAGAGTGCCACATACCATTTAGTTCAGCGAAATTTCGTCGACAACATTCTTTTTTTTTTTTCAGTGTTAATTACGGAAAAGAAATGTCGTAAATATCGCCAAATGCCTTGACAAAACAAAATGTTCTAGAAAAATAAAAGAAGTATGCCCACATTGTGAATCGAACCCGGGTCCGCTGCGTATGAGGCAGATATCTTACCAAGGTGTACGCTTTTTTTTTTTTTTTCTTCTTTATTTACCACTAAGGTGTGCGCTACTGCTTCGGAAACTCGCGTTGCAACCGCTCCACGAACCATCCAATCCGGCGTGAGCGCCGTTGCTGGGGTGTGTATGGCCTGGGCGTTAAAAATATGCCCCCGCGGGTCGGGGTGCGGTGCCCTTGGTATTACTTGGGCTCCGCCGGCCAGTCTTTGCCCTGCCCAGTAGCGGCAGTTTCAGGGGGGCGGGGGGCAAAACATGCCTTGACCCCCACTTTGAGAAATGGGGGAGGGGGGGGAGGGGGGCGGGGCAAGCAAGCGCCCCCCCCCCCCCCCCCCCCCCCCCGGGGTTGGTACGCCCATGCATATAACTCACATCAAACCCTAAGTTGCACTGCTCTAATTCATTTTCCATTTTACTGAGGTATATCATGAAGAGGAGAGGTGACAGTGGACAACCCTGCCTGAGTCCTCTTTTTATTGCTGCGGGTTGTGTAGTTTCTGCTTCCCATATTATCACTACCTTATTGTCTGTGTACACCTGCTGAAGAAACCTAACCAAATTTGTATCTAAATTATACTCCTTCAGCTGCCCCCAGAGTTTTTTTCTGGTCCACATTATCGTACGCTCCCTTGATGTCCAAATAAGCTTACCATAAAGGAGTTTGGTTCTTCATTGCTATTTCTATACATTGAGTGGTGACGAATAAGTTATCTTCCAGTCTTCTATCTCTTCGTAATCCATTTTGGAGCTCAATCAGTATTTGCATATCTTCAGTCCATTGCTCTATTCTACGCTTTACTATCTGCATAGCTAATCTATATAGAACTGAAGTTACCGTTATCGGGCGATATGACTTAATGCTGTGTTTGTTTCCTTTGCCTTTATATATTAGTCTCATTTTACTTAGTTTCCAATCATTGGGTACTTCTCTTCCATAATTACTTGGTTAATCACATGCCGCAACTTCAATTTGCTTGTTTTTTCTAGTGTCTTTATGAGTTCCATGGGCCTGTCGCTGTACCTGCTGGAACTTTACTTTCTGCCTTGTCCCATTCTTTAGTCGTCGTCTCCATCGCTACGCAATTCTGTTCCTACTCAACACTGCTGCTGATCGTGCTGTTCACTGTCTCCCTCTGCTCAAGCTGGGAGAAAGCTTCTTCGATTGACTGCCTAATATATTCACGTGTCTCTTCCCCCTCTACTCTTCTCCCCTCCTGTGTGGTCAATGAGTGTTAGACACCCTCTGTCTTTCTCCCCTGCGCTCTAATGTGCTCCCAAAACCTTTTTGCCGCATCCTTATCTTTTTTTATTTACTTCCATCATCCACTGCACTCCTGCACTTCCAATTTTGGCCTGTATTAAAGCTGATGCTTCCCTTTTCCGCTTTTGGAAGTTCTCCCATTTCAAGGCTACTTCAGCTGGCAAGGCTCCCCCCCCCCCCCCCTTTTTTTTTTTTTCCCCACCTATGCTCCTTTGATGCATCTTGGCGCCGCAATATGGCTGCTTTGACCTCCTTATCCCACCAGCTTTTTGGTTTGTGTCTTCGTTTTTGCTTTCCTTTTTGTTTAATTTGATGCTTCTCTAGTTCTATTTTAAAGATTCCTATTAGATCCTCATACGTCCACTCTCTTTCTGGTTGTTCCGATACTATGTTCTCAACGCTTTTCGATACTTTCTTTATATTTGAGCTTCACTTAGTTTAGGTTGAATCGCTCGTTCCTGGGCTTGTTGTTCTGGTTTGGATGCGCCAAATTTCATCATAATTCGTTTGTGGTCACTTCTTAAGCTTTTTGTTCCTTCCTCATCTATTTCCATACTTCCAAACCTGTCATACAGTTTGTGGGACATGAGGCAGTAGTCTATTGTTGAGTGTGAGTTGTCTCGTTCCCACGTTATTTTGCCGTCGCATTTTACTTGTGCATTAACTAACACTAAGTCCAGGGCCTCACAGAAATCTTCTAGCAGCTTTCCAGTTGTATCTGTGAATCCGTCAAACTCTTCTAAGTGGGCATTCGTGTCTCCTGATAATTATTTCCTGATTAAGACCAATTTCTCTGATATCCCTCGATATACATTTAAATCGTTTTCTATTTTTCTTCCTTGAGTCATTCCCTGTTTTCAGGTATGCAAACCCCAGAACACTGTTCAGACCTGTTACCCTACCTTTCAGCCATAAATGTCCTCTGCAGCTTTCCTTCTCTCTTTCCCAGTCTTGTCCTTTAACTCACATGCCTAGACCTCCGCCTTTGCGTTCACCTCCCCTCCGGTTGCATCTCATCCAGGAGTAGCCTGGTATGTACGGTGGTTCCTTTTCATCTCTAAGGTGCGTTTCTGCAACCTTGTACACTGTAAAATTTTCAGCCTCTATCCCCGGTTGTTTCCAGGTTTCGGCCTGTTTTTCGGGTAGCGTCCCGACTGAACAAGGTGTCCGCTTCCTTCCACGCTAGCCTCCTGCTTCTTCATGCGCCGTGAACTTTCTGCAGCCTTCTCGGATGCAATGGCGAAATCTTCAGCCTCCTGAAGGGTGAGTGTTTGCCTGGCGAGCAGACGTCTGCGTACGTCGTCATCACGAAGCCCACGAACCAGACGATTTCGCGTCATGCGGTGCAGCATTTCGCCAAAATTGCAGTCTTCGGCCAGTTATATCCGCCTCCGTTACGAATGCTTGTACGGATTCTCCGTCCTCTTGGTTTCGCATGAAGAAATTGTAACTTGCTGCGATCTCGTTTACTTGCGGGACATAGTACTCTTCCAGATGCTTTACGACGTCTTCGTAGCTTAGCTCGTTAACCTTCTTGGGGTGACAACGGCCTAGAAGCACCTTCACCACGTTGTCGCCGAGGGCAGCCACCAATAACGCCCACCGTTTGGGTTCCTTGATGCTGTGGCCTTCGAAGTAGGCCTCCAGCCGTACCTTGTAAGTGTTCCATGAGCCCGTCGTCTCGTCAAACCGCGGTGGACGGGCTGTCATGGCTGGAACTGCGAAAGATTGCGGGGTTGCTTAACCGTCTCGTCGCCGACTGCATCGCAGCCTAAGTAACGCTGGGTAAGAGACACACTCCAAAGAATACTTTATGAAAGGAACATGATGGCTTTTTACAGATGGCTGCTCGAACAAACACCGCGAGAACACCCCCCCCCCCCCCCCGCACTAAGCCCCTCTACCTTGTTGGGCTCTCCTCTGCCGCTCCACCTTTTCCATTTCGGCGGCCGCTTCTGGTGGCGATCTGCCAGGCTTTGTCAGTATAGAGGAGGCTCCTTGCCATAACCTTCGCTATGGTCTCACTCACCTTGCAGCCTCGCGCCATCAACCTTTTGGCTCTTTCCCAAGATAAAGAAACATTTTAGGTCCGACGACGAGGTTGCCGATGCAGTGCGCCATTGGTGTCGTCAACAGCTGCCTTTAATCATCTACGACGGCATGCCGAGAGTA